CAGCCAAGAAGGAGAAAAGAAAATATTAAGGGAGGAGCCTACAAATGTAAGACAAGCCTGGCAGGACTTAAGAGAGTTTAAGCAGATGAAGGAATGTGGTTTAGAGAGTGGTGAGCAACTGGTCTCCATTTCATGCTTCCAGCCTTGATCAGGGAGAACTGGGTTAACCTTAAAAAGGACGTCTCTCCAGCGGAGACCTCAAGACACTATTTTTAGCCAGCTCTAGGGTGTCCTCACTTCTCCGTGCTCACCCGTTATTCCAGTGATTTACCAAGCAACATGGGGCAGCATCCTTATCTAGAATCTTTTCCACACTATGGCCTGTTCGACACCAAAGCAAACATTATCTCCTCTGATCTTCATGGTAAACCTAAGCAGGAGGCAGAGTCCGGATCTCCCCTTTCAAAAATGAGGAAGCAGGTGAAGTGGCTTGCTTGGGATCACAGAGCACTAGGCCCGCAACAGCACTAAACTCAAAACCCCTGGTTTTGCACAAAGCCCCGTGGACACCCAGTACCACCTGGTTCCAGATGCTGCCATCAGAGAGGAAAGAGCCAGAAAGGCCTGGGGTCTCTGGGCTCGCCCAAGACCACTGTCTTATATTCTGCCTGGATGTCCTTTCCCTCTTCTGTGACTGTTTGCACCTACTTGATCCCCACTTCAGGATCAGACTAGAAGGCAAAGCAGAGGCCTGCACTTGTAGTTGTTAGTCCCGAGGTAACACTTTTCTGCACACACAAACCCCACTACTCACTCATATGGCAACACAAGTTAGCAAAGTGATAATGAGGCTGGCCCGGCCCTCAGCTCCCTCAGCGGTCAGATCTCAGCCTAAAGGTCACCATCTCAGAGAGGGCTTTCCTGACCACCGCTTCTGAGGAGCTCCCTCTCCAGCTCCATTTACAACCACCTCAGACTGTTTATTTCCTCCACTCCCCATAGAACAACACGATTCTATTTATGTGCTACTCTGGCTCTCTTCCCAGCTAGGATTTAGGGTGCAGAGAGGGAGGCAACTGGTCTGTTTTGATCACCTCTGTATCTCTTGTACCTGGCACTGAGTAGGCATCCAGGTATTTTTTAAATGAATAATGAGTCATAGAAAGAAGGTGCTCTCCCTCCAGATGTGTCTTACTAAATAATAGCCTGAAACTAGGTTGGGCGGAAATGTTGCTAATTGTTGAAGCTGAGTGTTGGGCATCTGGGAGTTTATTTTACTAGTCTGGTGTGTGCACACGCGTGTGCGTGTGAGAGAGAGAACATTTCGCTAATAAAAAGTTAAAAGCAAAGTGGTTCATCCTTGTTATTTCAAAAAGCAGAGCAAGCCTGAACAGCTGACCTAAATGAGGACTCCTAGCTAAGTCTCTCTCCTCTGGGGAAAGAGGTAGGCCTTCCATGGCCGCCATAGTCCTGTTGCCCAAAGCGGGTAAAACTGAACGTGCCGCTGAGGGAGAAAATCAGTATGGGCAAAATGATTCTCAGCGTTTCTGATTACTGCCATGAGAGTACTGACACATTTGTGGAGTAATTACATTAACAAGGTACTCTCACATTTTGTTGGGACAACGTATGAAGTATTATTATCCCCATGCTTATTTTATTATTTATCGCAGTCAAAGCCTAATCCAAATGCTTTGGAATAAGACAGCAATAAGATTCAGACCCTAACACTTGCAAACTGAATTTCCATTTCCTCCTCTGGAAAGGAACACCACCTCCCCATCTCATGGGATTTATAGGGAAACATAAATAGCAGGAGGGCTGTTTATGCCATTCCAGACACATGGTAGAAACTGAATGCTAGCTCACTCACTCCTGGACATCGCTGTGTCTTATCTTTTATAATCCCGTGCAGTACCTAGGTGCCTAATTATTTGCTAAATTTTATTTTTTTAAAGATTTATTTATTTGAGAGAGAGAGCATTAGCGGTGGGGAGGGGCGAAGGGAGAGGATAAAGCAGACTCCCCAGCTGAGCAGGGAGCCCCAGGCAGGGCTCGATCCCAGGACCCCAGGCTCAGAGGCAGATGCTTATCCTGAGCCACCCAGGTGCCCCATTTGCTAAATTTTAGAGGCAGCACAAAAGGTCAATACGGACAATAAATGGCAGAACGGATTCTTAAATCAACACTTTCCTATCAAGCAAAATGCTTTGTAAAATGCTTTCTGCAACACCAGGCTGCCTGGGGCTGGGGGGGCGGGTGGACTGGGGGCTGGGAAATATACCTCTTTTTCATCCCATTGACAGAAGTTTTGCAATAAACTTGGACCTTATTAATTCAATGTAAGCAAATAAAATGTTTTACTTTGCTCTTCAGAAGCTTCCTCCTACTCTTTTTCTCATTTCCTCACCTAAGAAGCCTTGTTCTGGGAAGTGCTGCCTAACCTCACAGGAGAGATCCTTTTTTTTTTTTTTTTTGAGATCCATTTTTGATATTTGGTAATTTTTTTAAAAATTAAGTGTAGTTACAAAGTCATATAGCACTCAAACTTTAGTCTAGACACTCTGAGCCTCTGGTAACTGGCCAGTGCTAGCTCTCTGAGCCTCCACAACCAGGGAACAGGCCTCTGTGACCTCGTCGAGTATTTTCCAACCATCATAACAAAAGTATTTTGAAGCCCCAGATGAAAGGGTATGATCAAAGAGGCCAAAGGTATAGGCTGCAAAGAGAAAACACAAGAGATGGTTTCCACGTGATAGGGGACAGGAAATGTGTGGGCAGGAGGTGCTCTGGGCTGGGCTTCCCACCACTGCAGAGAATGGTGGGGAACAGACTATGTACAGTGGTTGTGGCAAATGGCTTCCAGCCCCACAAAATAGCACAGAAAATAAAAATAAACCTTACCTCATAAAAGGTGTTGAGCTAGAGGCAGCGGGAAATGCTGCTACTCTGTATACCGTAGTACTCAAAATCCACTCGTTGGACATGCTGTACTGAGCACCCATGTGGAAGATCCATGGAGAGGCATCATCACAACACAGCTGGTGGGTATTTAAGAAAGGTCCAGAAATAGGAAGAGGCATCTAATGAACAGATTACCTATTCTGGTTCAGTGCCTCTCATCTACCATGTCTTTAGCTACTTCAGCTAAAAAAAAAAAAAAAAAACACTAAAGAATCAGAAACTCAATTAGGGGAGTGGAGTAGGGGGTAATAACATTCTTTTAAGCTTGAAGGAATAGTTCCACAGCCATTTCTTCTGGATATACAGAGTTGAGAACCAATGAGCAAGTCAACAGCAGCCTAAAAACTGAGTCACTTGTAATGAGCTTTTAACTAAATTTAAACTCAAAACTCCAAAAACATTCTATAGGTCTTCTGCCCTACACAAATAGTGAAAACACACATCAAAGATGAATGTTTCCCGTTGATGGTCATTGGCTTGAGTAAATTATCTGAGACAATAGATAATCCGATAAATGGGAACTCCTATCTACCCCACATAACTCAAGATCATTGAAAGACATTAACAAAACCTGTACACTAAAGGATCTGAAAATTGTAATGTCTTCCTTGATAAGATTCTTTTTTAAAGATTTATTTGAGTGAGAGAGCGGGGGAGGGGCAGAGGGAGAGGGATAGGGAGAATGCCACGTAGACCCCCCCACCCCCACTGAGCACGGAGCCCGAATGCAGGGACTGACCCCACAACCCTGAGATCATGGCCTCAGGGGAAACCCAGAGTCAGATGCTCAACTGAGAGCCACCCAGGCGCCCCTTCCTTGATAAAATTGTTACCAGTTTACAATCCATTTGCCTCAAAGTTCACTTTTTTATTCAAAATACCTGTTTATCAATCTAGACTAAAAATAATCTAGAAGCCTCCTGATAAAGCTATTATCTATATATAATTTAAAGCAAATTACATTGCTCATCATAATTTTCGTGAACTAGAATTCCTAAGAATTATGAGATACACCAAAATTTGAGAACCATTGCTCTAGCTCAGTGCTTCTCAAACTTTAATATGCACATGAATCACACGGGACCATGTTAAAGATTCTGCTTCCACAGGGTCTGGGGTGAGGCTTGAGAGCCTCCTTCTCAACGAAGTCCCTAAATGATCCTGCTCATCGGTGAATTCCATTTTGAGTAGCCAGAATCCAGAGCAGGGCTCCTCCAGTCTGGCTGCACATGAGAATCAGCTGGGTAGCTGTACAAAGTACAGATATCACCCTCAAAGATTTTTATTTAATGGGTCTGGGATGTGACCTGGGCATTGAGAGCTCACTTTTAAGTTCCCCAAGCGATTTTAATGTGCAGCCAAGTTGGAGAACCTCTAGAGCACAACTCATCATCTCAGCAGTCAGCTAAATTTAAATAGTGGAATTCTCAGCATAACTTAGGTCCTATATATAGCACCCAAGATGGAACCAGGGTTGCTAGCATGATACATATAAATATGCCTAGACTTCAGCCAGCAGATCCATTGCTCTACACAAGCTGTGTCGGGACTTCTGACCTTAAGCAAGTGACAAATCTGATCTTCAATTTCTTCGCATATCTAATGAGGATTAGAACCCCCGAGACAGTTGCAAGAACAAAATGAGAGAATATTTGTGCAAGTGGTTTGGAGAGGACCGTTTCCTATCAACAAACATATACAGAACCGTCACTTTTTGTACTCAGCGGACACTGCATATTACATATTTCACTTTTCACCACAAAAGCAAGTTGAAACAGATGTAAATGTGCAAGCACCTGCTCAGTTCAATTTCTAACAAAGTGCTTAATGATGCAGTTCCAGGAATGCATTGTGTCATAAGCACAGAACCACCTGTAACGAGTGAAGGATTAACCAGCCTCAGGGAAAAGACAAAGGACTGTCATTTCCCTGCCTTTTGTCATTAACTTCAGATACACTTAATGAAAACATGGAAGTAGATTCACAGTTGCAAGTTATCAGCTCCTAAAGAGCTTTGCGGAGGACTGAAGGGAAAGAAGGATTTTAATACCAATAAAGAAATTAAAAAAAAAAAAAAAGAGCCAGAGGCACAGGAAGGAGTGTCATGGAGTATTTTAATTTGGAAGGCAAAGAGGTTACACTTAATGGGAGCAGAGGTCACAGTAATAAATGCTCATTACAAAGCTGCTCTAACACAGAAACAAGGGAGCTTCTCTGGGCTCTCCACCTACATTCCAAATCAGAATCGGTAACTATAAATCTGAAGAAAATCCAAGTGTCCAAGTTGCCATCTCAAAGGCTCTCATCCAGAAGGAATCAAAAAGTGAACCTAAAAGAAAGAAGCAGAAAGGTAAGAGAGACACTCAAGGTTTTTGAAAAATGTCTTAAACGATACTACAAGACAGGGCCCCAAATCCTTCAATCTAAATTCTGAACCCACAAAGATAATTATGGGGTTCCCAAATTCCAAACAGTATTTAAGCCAGCTAGAACAACCAGATTAAAGCAAATGTTTTTCACAGAACACTTTAAAAAGGTATCCATAAAAATGAATGTTCCAATCTGAATCCCAAGCACACCAAGGCAAAACTTACTAGGAGTTGTAGGCGTGGGTTCTAACTCCAGCTCTGCAGTTAATAAGGTGCACGACCGGGGCGCCTGGGTGGCTCAGTCGTTAAGCGCCTGCCTTGGGCTCAGGTCATGATCCCGGGGTCCTGGGATCGGGTTCCCTGCTCGGCGGGAAGCCTGCTTCTCCCTCTCCCACCCCCTCTGCTTGTGTTCCTTCTCTCGCTGTGTCTCTGTCAAATAAATACATAAAATCTTCCAAAATAAATAAATAAATAAATAAGGTACACGACTTTCTACAAGTCACTCTGACCTCTCCAGCTCACAAACTCTTGGGAGGTGAGGGTGTTGCAACTTAGCCTAAAGGGCTTTTCTGGATGGAGAAAGCATACAAAGCACTAAATTTCAGTTGGAGAATAGGGGGTAAAAGGAAGAATTCAAGAGAAAAAAAGTAGAGAAAAATTACCAATCTCGGATTTAACGAAGGACCAAAATAGAAGAAATAATTTCATTTTAATTGAACGATAGGTTATTTTTGGCAAGAAGGTGGAAGATAACTCCAGGAGAAGCAGCCACATTGCTGCAGGCCGCACAAGATTACGATCTGTACAGTGTGAGACAGAGCCCTCCCCAGCAAACTCAGGCTTCCTTTCCAGTCCCTCCACAAGAGCTGCCCGCCTAGTACCCTGCAAGATGGGTGCGGCCAGAAAGTGACCCTTAGCCTTAGGGGCTCCAGTATTTCTAGCCATCAGCAGCCATTTTTCCTGCAGTGTGCCATTAAAATACTGCAATCTTCTCTGGGTGTCATGACTTGAAAAAGACTGGAAAACACTACCTTTCAGAAGAGCTGGGCTACCCTGGCAGGTTACAAGGCACCACCTTATTTGTGTACTGGTTCTGGTGACCTGGAGATTCTAGCATCAGAGCTTAAAGGAAAGATCTTATTAGACTTCTAGCCAGAGTGCTTTTATTTCACCAACAATGGTACTTAGAGACATGATATAAAACTGTAGAAACATTCCTACATCAGTAGAATTATGAGAAAAAGAAGAGCAAAAAACAGGGAACAAAAAGCATTCACAGTGCCAACCAAGAACAAACAGATCTATTAAAACTCACCTATTCACTCCATAAAATTTTTTAAGATTGTGTTGTTGTTGTTTTTTTAATTAAGTAATCTCTACACCCAACATGGGGCTCAGCTCAAACTCAACCCAGAGATCAAGAGTTGCATACTCCATGGACTGAGCCAGCCAGGAGCCCTACTCCATCAAATCTCTTAAAGCAAACTCTCTGGCTACAGACTATGAACTATGAATGCATCAGTTCTAATGGCCAAGGTGAGAGCAGACTAGAGCACAGGGTGATTTCAGTGAGGAGCCTTGACACAGAATTATAAAAGAAATCCTAGTTTAGTACAAAAGTCAAGTTTTGAGCTTCTCTGGTATTAAAACAGTTAAACAAATCTAAGATACTGGGGCTGATCCATATCGAAGGCAAAAATGACTCATGAGATTAAGTCTCTTTGATGGTGGTTTTCAGAAAATTCTACTTAACAAAGATGTGCTCCCTTCTTTTGAGACAAAAGTACATTTACCAGATTCTATTCTAAAAGCAGAGCATCTAGGATTCTTTGCAATGTTAACTCAACAAAATTGGACTATTCAACAGCTCAGAAGAATGCTTCAACTGCTAACCAGGGGATAAAGATTTCAGGTAACTAATAAAACTGCTTCCCATGAGATCGAGACATGCAAAATGGAAGAACCTACTGAGCAAAGTTCACATGACTTCGTCAGTCTATTTCACCCATGCAGAAAAGACCATGCCATCTGATCAGTCTGTTCTAATCATATTAAAAGAAAGCCAGGCACAACACAAAGTTAAAAATAATTATTCTCTGTATAGATACAAAAGATAATGCCAGGCAGGGTCATTTTTTTTTTTTTTTTGAGAGAGAGAGACACAGCGAGAGCAGGAACACAAGCAGGCGGAGTGGAAGAGGGAGAAGCAGGCCTTCCGCTGAGCGGGGGAGCCCGATGTGGGACTCGATCCCAGGACCCTGGGATCATGACCTGAGCCGAAGGCAGACACTTAACGACTGAGCCACCCAGGCGCCCCCAGGCAGGGTCATTTCTATTTGGGATCTGTATTCTCCAGCAATGTCTCTATTCAGACACCAGCACTGGGCGGATACACTCAAATAGTGATTTTCCTTCAAACCCGTTTCATCCTGGATATCCTGGTCACCCAATTAATGATAAAATTAGAGAAAACGTGAATCAAGACCATTCTGCAGAAATTCTAGGTTCCGGGCACCTGGGTGGCTCAGTCGTTAAGCGTCTGCCTTCGGCTCAGGTCATGATCCCAGGGTCCTGGGATCGAGTCCCACATCGGGCTCCCTGCTCAGTGGGAAGCCTGCTTCTCCCTCCCCCACACCCCCTGCTTGTGTTCCTGCTCTCACCGTCTCTGTCAAATAAATAAATAAAATCTTTAAAAAAAAAAAAAAAAAAAGAAATTCTAGGTTCCGAGCTCAATCTGAATCACAATTTCAGAAGGCACAAATCATGTGTTTCTAAAGATGGCAGGAGCTTTTCAGATCAACTGGTCTGATCCTCTCTTTTTATAGATGAGGAAGCGATAACCTGATAGTTTAACAGATCTGTCCAAAGCTGTGCTGCCTAACACAGAAGCCACCAGCCATACGTGGCTATTTAAACTTAGTTAAAATTTAATAAAATTAAAAATTCAGTGCCTCAATTGGTAGAGTACTTGACTTTTTTTTTTTTTTTGAGCACGCAACTCTTGATCTTAGGGTTGTAAATTCAAGCCCCACGCTGAATGTAGAGATTACTTAAAAATAAAATCTTTTTATAAACAAAACAAACAAAACCACGTGACTAGTAGCTACCATACTGGATGGTGCAGACTCAGAACACTTCCACACTGCAGAGTTCTACTGGAGAGCACTGAGCCTAACATCATCCTCTCTGGATAAAGTCAGGTCTCCTGATCTGCATTCTCTTGCATGTCTTCTGAACCCAAGATGACCGACTTTGCAGACACATCTTTTTTTTTTAATTTATGAATGTATATATGTATGTATGTATGTATGTATGTAATCTCTATACCTAATGTGGGGCTCGAATTCATGACCCTGAGATCAAGAGCTGCACACTCTTCCAACTGAGCCAGCCAGGTGCCCCACAGAAACATTTTAGACAGCCTACCTTCATCTTTTCTTATCATCTCTCCTAAGTTTTTCCCATTGAGAAAAGATAAGTTTAATATTTTTAACGAAAACCTTTTAACAAAAAGATGTAGATATTCATCATCCATAAGTCTCTGAACGTAATAAAGGAGAAGGAATATAAAAGTTTAGAGTCAAAATGTCTGTTATCAAGTTCCCACTCGGTCACTTATTAGCTCTAAAGCCTGGACAAGTTAATCTAAATTTCACTAGGGTTGGGAAGCCTGTCTGGCTCAGTCGGTGAAGCATGGGACTCTTGACCCTGGGGTCATGAGTTCGAGCCTCACGTTGGGTATAGATTTTACTTTTACAAAAATGTAAATTTCAGGGGCACCTGGGTGGCTCAGTGGGTTAAGCATCTGCCTTCGGCTCAGGTCATGATCCCAGGGTCCTGGGATCGAGCCCCACACTGGGCTCCCTAATCAGCAGGGAGCCTGCCTCTCCCTCTCCCACTCCGGCTCCCCCTGCTTGTACACTCTCTCTCTCTGTCAAATAAACAAATAAAATCTTTAAACAAATAAATGTAAATTTCACCAAGGTTTTGTGGGGTTTTTTAAGATTTATTTATTTATTTTAGAGAGAGAGAGCACGCAAGCAAGGCAGGGAAGGGCAGAAGGAGAGGGAGAGAGAAACTTTAACCTACTCCACACTGAGCGTGGAATCCAAAGCGGGGCTCAATCCCACAACCCGGAGATCAGGACCTGAGCCGAAACCAAGAGTTGACACTTAACCGACTGCACCACCCAGGCACCCCTTCACCAAGGGTTAATCACCTCATGTGTAAAATGGGAATACTACTATTCAACTACCTCCATTATACAGTGGACCACGAGGATCACATGAGTTAACATTTCCAGGAGTGTATGTGAGTCTCACAAGCCTAGTAATGTGATAACTATAAAACATTTTATAAATGTTACCTAATTTTGTAAAAGGTCTTACACATTGTGCATTTTGTTATATACAGCCACACTGACTTTCCACCTCCTGTGAATGGATGATGGAAATCTGGTAATATGGATAGAAAGCAACAACTGATGAAAAAAAAAAAGCAGTTCAACTGATGATCCACACAAATGGCACGAATCTCCTGAAATACAATGAGAACTATCATGAATTCTAATAATCACAGGCTGTAGCAGCTGTAAGAGACTGATGAATATCCAGGCCAATTCCCTCGTTTCCCAGGGAAACTGGGCCTCAGAAACAAGCTTCTAAGTCCAATCAACTAGTTAACAGAGCAAAGTCTACAATGCAGGTCCTCCAACTTCTAGTCTCATGCTTACACCCCACCCTACAGCCCTTCATATGAATTTTTTCCTTGGCTTCTTTCTTCCACAGCATTTCCCATGTCTTAGCATCCATATAACTAATGATTTAGCTATTTTTATAGCATTTTCTTAGAGTTGAAATTATTTATTCATACACTCATTCAACAAACATGCACAGTGACTGTCAGCCCTATGCTAAGCCTTCAGGGAATTCAAGAGTTCAGTGGGAGAGACAGGAAAGCA